TCCAATGGAAAGACTGGGAAGACACTGATACCATATGTGGGTCCACCCAGGGCCCCTCTCCAACCCTCATCAAAAAATGTAATATGTTTCCACTCTCTTAACCACAAGAAATGTCCTCAAAACCCGCTCCCAGTGTCACAGACTCATCTACAAGATAGATTCCTCATGTTTCTCCTGAGGAATTTATCTGAGAGCTGTACATACCTCAAGCCACCCAGGAAGTCAGTGACTGAACTGAAGGGGAAACACTCTTGCCCACCAGGAGACTTCACACCCACACCAGGTCCTTAGTTTATACTACAGAGAGGGCCTCACACCACCAGCTACAAATCCTTTCTTTGCAGAGTAAATGATGGCGCAGTATCTAGAGAATCCTTCTTCCCTTACGAGGCTTCCAGGAAGTTGGGTCTGGCTAACAGAGATCAGAGATCAGGACACATAATAAATGACTGGGGCGGGACAAGCATGAAGATACTGGGTCTAAGATTGCTCCCATTGCTGGCTGGGTTCAAGATAGGGAACAGGTGGATCCTCATGGACTCAGGGCAGTGGGATGGAGGGTCTCTGACAAGGAAAAGGGGCATCGGGGTTAGAATACTCACTGACTCCTGCTTGGGGAGCATGCAAGAGTATGTTATCTAACCTTTGACTCTGATTCCTAGGTGGTTGGAAAAGAAGGAATAAGTAAAAGAAAACAATGGGTGCATAGCTCATGAATGCTAAAGAAATTACCACACTTGATGTTGACAGAATAAGGTACTAACTCTTAGAAGTGAGGCACAAGGTAGGTCATTAATATTGAGGACACAAAGAAACCTCCATTTTCTACATTGGGCCAAAGGGTTAAGCCAGAAAAGCAACTGTGCCCAGTCTTAAAGCTACAGATGACAGTTCTTTTACTAAAATTTGGATTAAAATGTATGGCTAACCCTAAAGTCAGACACATAGTGGGTCTCTACTAATGCTCAAATTCTCTCCTCTTCCCAAGACCAAACTGCCATGTGGCAGCCCATGAAAACCCACAACACACTTTGATGTGGAGCACAACCCAAGTCGGGGATATAGCTCAGCGGAATAAGCACTTGCCTGGCAAGCAAAAGGTCCTGAGTTCAAATTAAGGTACCAAAAAAAAATTCACTGAGCCAATCAATCATATTCCTCAAGACACTTAAGAGATGCTTACATTGTTGGAGACACAATGAAAAAAAAAGTACTTTACATTTGTGCCTTTTGCATTCCTCTTCCACAAAATCTGTATCTTAAAAGCTGTATTTACTCCAGTACTGGTCTATCTTAGAGACCCTGATCAGTACAAAATCTACAGACACAAATAACTGCTTTATACCTTCTTAAGTTATACTACATAACACATCACAGTGGGAACTACCCAAGCTAGGCATTTAATATGCTGGTCTCTCCTGGTCTCTGAAAATGTTAGTGGCTATACGCAGCACTGATGGTTTTAAACTTTTTCAAACCAGAACATCCTATGCGTCAAACCACCACCATACTCCATTATTTTATCAGAGGTGCTGATGTTAATAGCCTAGACATCACCTCATAAAGTATAAAGATTATGAAATCTCAGGAAGCCTTCCTTTATTGGGGCCATGTAAGGTATTGTGATTTCAAAAAAAAAAAAAAAATCCCAAATGATGGGGATTCTCTGTTTGTGTAAACTTTCTAACACTGATATGTGATTTCCTGGGAGTGACGGGGCACATGGTCCTCTATCAAGGAATACACCCACATGACGCCCAGATCTCTTCAGGCTGTGCCAGCACGACTTGTCACACTGGAATGCTGCTTGGCTTCAGCTTGGAAATTCAAACCTTAAGAGCACTATTTTTCTGCTGGGTATATACACGTAGTACATTTAATACCATTCTTTAAGCTACCTCTTATTTCTGAATCAGTGTTTCAGAAGAAATGTTGCATTTGTTAATATCAAAAGTTAACGTGTCACTATGTCTGTCTTTCCCTTTACCCATTCTTGGAATATTCTCAGTTTATTTGTAAAGACTATGTCTAACAATTCAAGTGTGAAGCCACAAGATACATAGCTAATTGATCCTAAGCAATGATCAGGTCTCACCCTGGATAAATTACTTTAGCCACAAGTCAACCCAAGTGCAATCAAGGATTGAATCAATATTGAACCTTATCCAGATTTCATCAGTCTTCCTTCTACCTAATTCTCTACGCCCATGCTTCATGGATAGTATTGCTATTCTCTTTATTACAGGGACGGAGTATTATTTTATGATTATTTAAGACATGTTAGCATTTGCTTTTCAACACCAGGTGATTTTCAAAGAACATGTCTTTCCCAGAAATGTCACTAGAAAAATGCATCCAATTTTTCTCTAATGTGGTGCTTTCCCTGTCCATAAAACTTATTTGATTAGCAGTACTATAGAAGCTAAAGCTTTTGTATGCAGGCACTCAAGCATAATTTAATCATTTTATTTAAGCATGAAAAAAATTATTCTGAAAGCCCTGTTAGGTAAAATATCCCTGATTAGTTTAAACTTACATTTGCAGGTATATTAAAGGTGAAATAAATCAAAGAATGCTCAGTATGCAATGGAATAGTGTTAACTTTGTTACAATAGTCAGCAGTATGTTAAAAATTGTAGTATTAGAGCATGTAAGGAATAACTATCTCATTTTAAATGAATGTATTTAAAAAGGTTATTTTAAAGTAAATTTTGTTTTGTGCAAACCCTTTTTACATTACCAGGATTTTCACCTATGGAAACCTCTTTTATAGTCAAACAAGATGAGGTCCTAATTGCATAATACCATTTATCTGCTGCAAATAAAAGTGCCAACAAATGAAAATGCACATGGGACAAGAGACTGTCAGAATAAAAAACTGGATTTTTCAAATGTTTTTTGTTTTTTTGTTTTTAAATAACCCACTCACATTAACAAAAGACTGCAGTAGCTTCCAAATTATAGGTTGTTATTTTTAGTAGAAGTAGTTCAATATTCATATTGGAGCAGATGTAGCAGTTTAACAAAACAGCTCTTCAAATCCTGCACAAATTGAAAACAGGAAAACTGATTGCATTTTCTCTTATCACTTTCCTTTTCTGAATTGACACTTTCGGCCTCCTGAAAATTTACACATGGCTTTCATCTCAACAGCACCTGCTGATCAAATAGAAACCTAACATTTTCATGAAAACTGTATAAAGGGCTAGTTTTGTTTTAAGCACGGTAAAGGGCATCAGTTGCCTGCTTGATGGCAACAATGTGTTTACAAGTCATATCCATAACATGTTCTACATTTTCACCAAACTTTAAAAGTGTGTGTTAGGTCCTTTCTGGCTTTTATCTATCTTCACTTCTCATATGGTTCATAGTTGACTCAATGTCTGCCTAATCCTTAATTTTATTATGTGAAGACTATGCAAAACATGTAGAATGCACTTAGAAGATAATGAATATTTAGTATTCTTCTCTACCTGTTTCAACACACACATATTTACACATATCACTGTCTACGCATGCACATGAGTATAAAACATATACACCCTCTTCATTGTGGAGTCCACCTGCCACAAGGATACTGGGAACAAGTGGAGTCAGGTCCTATTTTTGAAGGGACCCCATATTTTCCTTTAGCAAATGTAGATTTAACCGCTGCTTATCTTTTTGAATATCCCAAACTCCAGAAGAATAGATATCACCCAGATACCACCTGGTCACCTAAATGAGGTGACCCATGATGATGATGACTCACTATAATGCCTCCAGGGAAGAGTAAATCTTGAAAATGGGTATTCTCTTAAGTAAAACAAGACTGCAAAAGATTGTTAAGCAGGTCACTTCTCAGACTTTTAAATAAAAGTAGTAAGAAGCACTGTTCATATTCCTACATAACATCCAATTCTGGGTAAAATTAATGATGCTCCTAAGATACACTATCTGTCAGATTTTTATCCAGGAAAGTGCTGCCCCCTCTTCTAAAGGATTCCAGGCTGTCCTTTCCCATTCTGCCTGGGTGATAAGGTAACCCCGAAGGCAGAAACGACATACAGTAATATATGTGCCACTCTGGCCAGTTGGTCTGTGAATTTCAATGTTTCATCATGCTCACTGAGGCAACAGCAAACCTAAAATGTCAATATGTTCAGTCAATGGGAGTAAAATAATGGGACTCTATTGTCTTATTCAATCGATCCGATGCTGTCAACAAGGAAACATGCCCCTCTGGCTTTGAGAAAATTTTAATTAGGCTTTTAGTTACCGGATCATAGCTCTCTCTACCTATGAAAACACCTTTCTTGACAATGTGTAGGAAGCAAAAGTGATCATCCTATTTTTATTCATTTTAAGAACATTCTAAAATTGACACTAGACTGTTTTTAATAAACTCATGAGTCAAGAAAACAGTTTTTCTTAAACTAACTCCAAACCAAAAACAAAACAAACAAACAATCACGGTTCAAATCCTAAATACAAATCTGCCTAAGAGTTTTTTTGTCCCCTCTCTCTAGCAGAAATTGAATCACACGATACATCAGCTAATTCCACATTAAAAATAGTTTCCTTATCTCATTCAAGCACAGCCAGCAGCATCACTATATCACTCCTTCAAAATAAGTCACACAAAACCAAATATTAATGACGAGTCCCCAATGCCTAGAACCCTCTGCTCTCAGTTTGTCCTGAACAGGAAAAGTCAATGAAACTGCTTTAAAATAACACAGGCGCCTGGCGGGAAAGGAGCCCAAATAAGACCCTTGAAGACATTCAAACTGCACCTGAATTCTCTACCTTTCCTTCCTCCATCAGGACACTCGCCTTTAAAATTTTTTTTTTGAAAAAAATAATCAAGTTGTTAAACAGCTCTTTCTCTCTTCTTCATCTAAAGGCTTCCACATCCAGTCAATAAATAATCTATTGTTCCCCTTTATGGAGACTCTTTAAACCTATTCAGACTGGCAAAACTAAACCCAATTAAAGATTAGGCCCTCGGGTAATCTCACCTCGGTGAGTCCTGTCTGGATAGCAGAGGTGATGGGAGATAGCGTCAAGGCCAGGGCTGATGCCTCCTCCTCACCCCCGCACAACAAAGGCAGATTTCTCTTTCTCCCTCTGCTAATCTTTAAATGTAAATTCCCTCCGCCAGCTAAGAGGAGCGACAGATAACACGTTACATCTTCACTTCTCCTGGTCTTATCGACTTCTGAATCGCTGGGAGAGGGAGCGCGGGAGCGCGCGGGGCCGCCCCCCACCCTGCGTCCCCTCCCCTCCCCTCCCCACCCCTCCCCCTCCCCCTCCCCCCTCTCCCCTCCCCTCCCCTCCCCTCCCCCGCGCGGAGATTACCTTCTGGCAAAGGAGCGCAGCGCAGGCGGCCGCGGCCGAGGCGGCACCCAGACCGCGGCTTTGTATTCATTAAACACACATCGGAGCTTATCAGAAGTAAAAGGCTTGTCAGGATGGCACATTGTGTGTGAGTGAGTGTGTGAGCGCAGGAGGGAGAGGAGAGAAGCCAACGTGCATCAGGGTGATTACAATATCAGCAGGGCCCAGATGGAGGCAGGAAAATAAACAGAGGGTGCGTGTGAGACGGAGCGGGAGAGGGAGGAAGAGTGGGAGAGAGGGGGAGAGGGAAGGATGCGGGCAGGAGGGAAGAAATCAAAAGGGATGCAGGGGGCGGGGGCTCAGGCCCCGCCACAGGGCCACCCTAAGGCTGGCTGGAGGCGCAGGCCAGGGCTGGGGGTCGCCTGCGGGCCCTAACCTGTCCCTCTTCCAAGCCAGGGCGGGCCACCATGCCAGCACACTGCAGCCCTGCTCCAGGATCAGACTGCGGGATCACGTTAGAGGTCCTGTCAAGGTCAGAGAGGGACCACAAGCTGCCTCGGGCGGAGTGTGACTGGGAGACCTGCACCGTCTCACCTCCACCCAAAAAGCCACAATTTGCAAAACAAACCTAGTGGGTGCACACAGCTTCCAGCAGCCTTCCAGACCGAGCTCCAGCGGGACTCCTGGCCCCATTCTATGTCCACCGGAGACTCCGCCGTCCAGCCCCCTCCCACACACGCAACCCACACACAGGGAAACAGGCTCGGGCACATCTAAAATTCGCACCTCTGGGCTTTGATGGGTCCCAGCTGAAGACACAGGGAGCCGCATCACCGTGATGAGGACCACTTGTGATTGGTAGCTACAGGTGACTCCGAGACACCTGCTCCACCTCCAGAAATTGTGTGGGGGGAGGGGGCTCCGTGTGTGTACGTCTGAGAGTCTATTTTGAAGGTGGGAATCTGAAATTGAGGCAATCAATCTCGGCTTGAGCTGCCTCACAGCTCTTCAGCCACCCAGAGTCCGGGAATCAATCAGAGAACAAGCAGGAGCTAAGGCTCCACCGTCAGACCAGAGTTCAGCCTCCTCCCCTGCGGGTCAGAAGGGAGATACACCTGAGTAGTCCCTCGAGAGCCCCTTTTCACTTTTAAATGCACCCATCAGACAATCTGAACATCTGATCAGATCCTTAATGGAGTGCAGATAATGCAGCAAAGAAGTTTTTTTTTTTTAATTGGGGGAGGGGGAGTATCTGCTTGTGTTGTGTTTCAAGGCTGAAGCTTGGTTAAGGAGCTCAGAGTGCAGTAGGAAGAAGAGTTCAGAATGGAGGAGCTAATAAACTACCTAATTTTTCATGGCGCACACTGGAGCCCCAGCTGCTGTGAAACTTGGGGTCATAAAATATAGGATCTCAGTAGAAAGGGAAAAATATGGGGAGAGGGGAAATAGGGCTAATGAGTCCATAGATGCGCAAGAGAATCAGCAGTTGCCTTTTAACGGAGACGTTTTTAAGAGGCCCTGCAGAAAATAAGGAGGGGCATTGTTTAATCAAACATTCCTCCTCCAAATCACTTAGTCAAAAAAGTTTTATGTGCAGTGCAGCCCCCTTCCCCATCCCTCAAGCTCCCACCCCCAAGAAAAGAATCGAGGGAAATTTGATAGGTTACAACACAAAGTGAAGAAAGCTGGGCATGGTGGGGGAAGGGCATGTGTGAAAATCTTGTCATGCAATGAATGTCAGATAAAAAGGGGTCTGCTACAATCCTTCAGTAATCCAATAATGTGGAAAACCTCGTGGCATCACTGAGAAGAGAACAAGGTAACATTTCTCCATAAATCTTCAGAAAGTGACCAGGTTCAATGGCTAGAGAAGGGTGCAAGTGTAGGAAATAAACCACTTGACAGGCTACATTACAAAATCAGGTGAGCCCTAAATGGATAAGATTCTGTCACTCCTACATGTTTTAAATTTAATAGCAGATTTCTAGAGTATCATTTTAGCTCTCATAAAAGGTCCCCTTTCACCTTCTCTCTAGCTGTTACACAGAAAGCTGCACTCAGTAACCAGAAGCAACCACAACTACCATAACCCCTGTTATTACATTGAGGTTAGACCAATTTGGATACAGACTACATAGGAACACCCAAAAATCCAATGCAACTGCAGGAGAAAAAATTGCAACTTACAAATGCCCACTGATTTTTTCCCATTACATGCTCTTTCAAGAAATCCCCTAGGTTACAAAAAATTCCATAGTACTGTACTGCTTTTCAAACCCAGAACAGGCATCCAAACAGACATAAAGAAAAGACCAAAAGCTAATTTGCCAAGGTGCTTATTGTGTGAAGGTATAGTATTTCTACTACCTTGTTTGTTCATTGACTTTTGGCTCACAGTTACAGAAAAGATCAACTGATTCTCAAATGGGGCAAATCTATGACACGCTTCCAAAGCAAACACTTTGCTTCAAAGCTTTCAATTAAAAAAAGCAATACAATAATCAAGAAGCACAATCACAGAATAAGTGTATAATAGAAACTGGTGTCTATAATCACAGCTGTCTCAAAGTCCAGGCTAGAGACTAGAAATCTTAATTTGAACTGTTTCTTTTCTTAATAATAGGGTACCTTCCGATAAAAGCAAGAAGTCTATCTGTCCTAGGCAGATAAGTTTTGAAGCATTAATTCAGATAAAAATCTAGCATTTTCTTTCTTTCTTTGAGTATGTGAATTCTAGTGTGCTATAATGTGAGAATTCCAACATATGACCATTATGGCATAATATCTCATTGCTCAGCTTGTCATTATTTCATTTGTAATTCTTATGTTAATTATGTTCATAATTACTATAAACAGATGTGGTAGACATTCATGTGACCTTTTATTGCAGAATGCATTCCTCACTCATTTCGCTTTAATTTCTCATGTCTATGAAGCTGAAGCATAGAAAAAAGAAAAATGCTTTCTAATTTTCTGATGCTTTATATGCACAAGTTAAAACAGAGCTTACCTTCCACTTTATCTGAATTTGAGACTATCAAAATATTCTTACTGTTTAAGCTGCTTTCTAGCACATTTCTAAATTGCATCCTGAACCTCACTGCTGTGGGATGCCAAACAAAGGCTAGCATCCATGTGTAAGTTTTCTCTTTTTAATATCAAAGGTTAATGCAGCAGAATTGTGCTTCAAAACCAAGTAGCTAGCAGCTACATAGTGATTTATTCACTCATGACTGGACCATCATCCTCTTTACATAAAACACACTTACAATAAAATCAGTATGGATTTCATTAGCTGAAAACCTCCTCGAATTTCATTTCTTTGGCCCTAATCTATAATTAGTGTGGACAGACAGGTGCAAACCCTTCTCTTCTACAGATGGCTACTGGAAATGGTGCAAAGTAGCTCCTTCTGTTTAAACAACACGGAGATAACCTGCTCTGTCTTATCATTTACAATTACCTCCATTAAACTGAACTAATGTTTGCTTTAATAAAATGTTCACTGTTCTTTAAACATTATTTAGGAACTCTTATATTAATGGCTGTAAAAAAGTGAAGTTGAAAGGTGTCTTGTTAGATAATAATAAGTAACCTACACTGAATAAATGTCCCCACTGATGGGTCACAAAGGTTGTTAGTTAACTTAATACTTATTTGTTAGTTTGTATGAATAGGGTAAACTATAATTTTTCAAAGGACATTTAGGTGACAAACATAATTTAACAAGAAAAACGAGGGAAAATTAATATTTTCCTAAATTTGTAAGTACAAGAAGTTTAAATTTTTTTCTTATACATTGCATTGTTATTGAAATATAGAAGTCTTAAAACCCCAGATTGTTTTCAAAGGATTTTTGTGTTAACCAAATTTTATGTATTTTCTGATTATTCTCAAAGTTCCATGAATTCATTCAGTCACATTTTAAAAATTAATTGTGCCTCTAAGTGCATTCTGCAAGCACATGGTCAGAAAACAACTGCATTCCATAATAAATAACTTCTATAAAGTCAGAGCTCACTGCTCATTGCTTCTGCCATCAATAAAGTCTATGGATCACTATATGATGAATAAGGTGATCATAAAATAAAGAACCTTTAAACAATTAGCCTTTCTCACTGAACTTACATAACTTACAGTAATAGACTCCAGCAAAATGCAACTGACTTGGGTTTTTTTCACATGCAAATCCTGCAGGTGCCAATTTTTCAGACTGCTTTGCCATGAAGGGCTATGTTGCCTGCATAAAACCTCAATGAAGAAGGCTTTGCATTCAGTGCCTGTCAGCTGATGTTCATATCAAAGAAGTGAGAAACAGGATTTGACAGTGAAGAATGTCCTAAACTGACAACCACTGACCAGCATTCCTATTGGAAGCATTTCTTTCTGGTGATCCCTTTTCAATGTTTAAAAAATAGAGGGGAGAGATTAGCTAAGCTTCAATTTTACAATGAAATAAATTATAATAGCATCTTACATCTGTGTATTTCTTTGCAATTTATGAGATATTCTTTCATCTGAAAATATTTAGACTAACGTTTCAATGGGAGAGCTCCTCTATCAAAGACTAACACCAACAGCAATATTTTGCTTCTCTCAGAAAAGTAAAACTGTGAAAGTAATTTTTAAAAAAAACTATAGCCCTGTAACTGAAACATGACTGTCCTACTGTTCCCAGCAACTTGCTATAGTGGCATTTGCATTGTTCTGCAGGTCTAGGATTTATTAAGAATGTCTTTTAAAAGATCATTTTTAAAGTTAAATTATTAGCAAGTTTTAGTGGGTCAAAGACATTTAGTCTACCAAGGAAAATATCATTTCAAAGACTTCTGATTTGCTTTGAGTTGCCCAAGCATTGCAGAAAACATAGTTTTTTCCACTGCTTTTACTAAGTATAACCTGTACACTGGAGAAAATACATTCTGAAATTCTCCCACAATATTTAGCTTTTCAAATAAAATGACAGCTGTCTATAGGGTCTGTTATTAAATGACCAATGTTTTAACAAAGATGTTTAATATAAAGTTATTCTCTTAGCATAATAACCTCGATTCATTTTTATGTGCAAGCCTGACTGTGATTATTTTGTTGGAATTTTGTCTTTTGAAAAAGTAAACTAAATGAATATCAAATGCTGAATCTAACACAAGAAAGAATAGATTTCAACTTGTTCAACATCCATCCTTGCTAGAAAAAAAAAAAAAAGCCTGGCTCAAACTAAGATTGTTGGATTATATTAGGTGAGAGTTAGACTGCTTTGCAGAATGATAAAAAGAAAATTAAATCTCTCCACCACATCTCTATTATCTGACAGCTACCATACTGTTAAAGCTGGACTATAAGGATAAGCAAGGAGGAAATGCACAGAATTATAAATTTGCTTCTGTTTGTACATATCACAGCTGGCATAAACACCTAAATTGGGGCCATGCTGTTTTAAGAAACAATGGTATTTGTTGATCTTTTTCTAAGGCATCCTGTGACAGGAGAAACTGGACACAACAGAATACTCACACGGTGAAGGCAAACTGCTGCAATAAACTCAAAAGAGGCCCCAACACTA